AAACTCGACTTAAGAGGAGGAGTAGCTTGAATTTGTAGGGGTTATCAAGGAATATAAGCTAGGCTCAGTCCATTTCCCGCATTAAAATCGGGTGGGAAGATTGTTGACCTCTTTGTTGTTACCTATTGTCATTTTGAAAGTTTTCTTGATTATTAGACACGTATTTACCTAGACATTAACCTCTATTGTTTCCACGACTTTGGTTATGGACATTTCTTTGGCCACTAGATTGCCCTTACTAATACCTTTGGTTTGGCCCCCTCTCCAACCAAAGTTGGGGTGATGTTTTCAACCCTCATTTAGGTGTTAGAGTAGGGGTCAAACCTAGAATTGGTTGCACATTATTAACTTGATCCAAGAAAGGGCATAGAAACATGATTCATTTAACAAATGACATTTGGAAGGAGCGTGATCATCATAACCACACGTATTACAAAACATCATTTGCTTAGACATGTTATCATTAGATGAACTAGATACGTGTGAATTTTGGAGGAGGGGAAGATGGGACGGGGAGAAGCTTGCAATTAATCAATTTTAGATGGCAAGGCGACAACCTTTTAGCTAAGCACGTTAATAGCATTAACTTCATACCTCCTACCTTTCTTTATAATGCTTTCTTATCGAGGTTCCAATTGGCGTAGTTTTGAGCTACATCCTCAATCACCGAAATCGCCTTTGTGGGTTGCATTTTCATTATTGGCCCACCCAATGTCAAATCCAAACACATTTGGCTTCTCTTGATAGGCTTGTATAGAACCCATGCAACAAGAGCCAATCCTCCATATAGTGGTATGGGCATTGTTATTGGTAGCTCTTAAATCTCTCTCTAACATCATAGAACGACTCGTCCGGTTCTTGTTGGAAGTTTGCTATTTAAGACCTTAACTCCGGCTTTTTTTTCAAGAGGCATGAATCTCCCAAGAAATACCGAAATTACTTTGTTACAAGTTGTCAACAAATAGGGAGCCAACCTATTAAGCCAATCGCTTGCTTTTCAATTTGTTGCACTGAGTTCTCCAAACTCTTCGTTTGGAACTTAGCTCTATAATCCTCTCCTCTAAAATTTCAATGCATTGAGTGTTCGAACTCGAGGCCATAGTGTCCTTCTCTAATACCAAGTGCAACACACTACAGTTTCCAAGTACAACAAATTCATGCAATATCAAGAAAGAGATGATAAAGGATGACAAGATGATTAATTGATAGACAAAAGTTAAAGAGAATACAAGTCATTGTTAATGGCTTTATAGACAAAAGTTAAAGAGAATACAAGTCATTGTTAATGGCTTTAAGTCATAACTCTCCAGGGGTTCCAATTACAAACTTTCTGAATGCTTTATCTTTCCTACTCTCTTACTACTTGGCTAAGGTCATACACTTCATAATTGCATTTACTATATAACTATTACCTATGTTACATTGACATGGGTACGGGTATCCAATATTGGTACGAATCCGAGTATCCGATACGTCATTTTAAAAAATTTAGGACACAGGGACGCTGGCTTAACTTTTGACTCGGGTACGAATACGACAATAAAAGGAAAAAAACGGATAACCCAAGTACCCATAAAAGATGTTAACAAGTTTTGTTTTAAAATATTAGATAATATGATGTACTGATGTAGTACTACTTACCTTTTTTTTTTCCCTGTAATAGTACTACTTACCTAATACTGTTAAATTTAATGCAACTTGCTCTAAGACCACTCTCAATAGTGAGCAAAAAAAAATGCCCACCCACTATCTCTTTACCCACTTTCTCTCTCAATGGTGAGCAAAAAAAATGCTTGCCCACTACTCTCTCTCTCTTACTTTTTCAATACCCCACCATTACTTTCTCTCTCCTACACAACACTTCTTTATTTATTAATTTCAATTATATTTTAACAATATTACTCCAAATAAATAAAAACTAGTCTAAATTTGTGTAACTTATTTTTTTTTAATTGTGTTGTTTTTATCGTTAAAATAAAGAATATGGAGGATTTATGGTATTTCTGAAATTATACCAAAATATACCAAAATGCATGTCTATTTATAGAGAATTAAATTTTATGACCGTTGGTAATTTTAATTTTTATTTAATAAATATTTATTTCAGAATTTGCATTACAAAAAATATAACCATTGCAAATTGTGGGGCCCACCAGAGCACTATTCATCCTCAAATTTGCCCAAGTCTTGGGCATTTTTAGAAATGCTCATGAGCATATTTTGCATTTCTTCATTTGATCACCATTGTAATACATGAGCATATTTTTTGCCCACCCAAAATGCCCATGAGAGCACCCTTAAGGGTGAACAATTAAATGGTTCACAATGAGTGAACAATAAAATAGTTGGCTTAATGGCAAACTCTAAGTTTGTTCATCTTGAGTGGTTGCAAGTTCGAATGTTGCTACAATCAGTCAGAGGAACAAATTCGTTGTGGGCCCCACCCAAATTTTCCACTCAACTAAAAGCAGCGCCACTTGGCCCAGCCGCTGCTTGACACGTGTTGTCAGTTTTAAATATATCCGTTGTAATTTTACAACGGATATATTTTACAAAATACAAATAAAAAAAAAAAAATTACCAACGACTTTCTTTTTTTCCCCTCTATAAATAGACACCCATATTGATATACTTTCTTCAACTTTAAAAATCCATTTTCTTTTCTATTATATTTTTCTCTTCAAAAATCCCCTCACTAATTACCAATATTATTATTATTTTTACCAATATTAATATTATTATTGTTATTATTATTTTTATTTATTATCATTAATATTATTATTATCGTTATTATTATTATTATTATTATTATTATTATTGTTATTATTATTATTATTATTGTTATTATTATTATTATTATTATTATTATTATTATTACTATTACTTTTACTATTATTATTACTATTACTACTACTACTATTTCTACTACTACTACTACTACTACTACTACTACTACTACTACTATTATTACTATTACTATTATTATTACTACTATTACTATTATTACTACTACTATTATTATTATTATTACTATTAATATTAATTTTTTTTTTCCAATTATAAATTATAATTATGAATGCTAATACCAACCCCAAAACAAATAGAAAGCAGAAAAAAAATTTGGGTCAAAATATTATCCCAAATCAAGCCAATTTCTATCCAAATCCCCCTAATTTTTCACAAACACCCACAAATATTCCCCATAATTTTTCTAGTGTTTATCCTCAAAGACCCCAGTCAAGTTTCCCATATAATCCACCTAATTTCCCTCAAAATTTTAATTTTTCTCAAAGCAGTTCAAATTTCCCACATCCATCCATGACACCAATGGGTTACGGTGAATATGGTGCTGCATCTGGTTATTTTCCGTCACAACAACCGAATCCCAATATTTGGGAATCGAGCAATGTCTTATCTGAAGAAGATGAGGCAAATGAAGAATGCGAGGATGATGGTGAGGGAAATGAAACTCCTTCCCTCCATCAAAACTTCACTCAAATGTTACAGCAACCACTCCAATCAACTCCGGAATTTCGTGTTGGTTGTTCAAACAATAGAAGTTGGTCACGATCAGAAACTGCGGCTCTTATATCCGCCTACATGAACACCAGCACCAACATAATTATCGGCACAAATCAAAAGAAGGGTCAATTTTGGAACAGAGTCTTGGACGCATACGATGCTGCCAGGGTATCGAATCCAGTTGAAATATCCCTACGAACTATTAGTAGTTTGAAGGGAAGGTCGATGCGAATCTCTGAAGCCGTGTTAAAGTGGTGCGGAAGCTATGATAAGGCCCGGAAGCGAAAGGGAAGTGGCTATAACGAAGATGATGTTATCCAAGAGGCCCACAAAATCCATGAGAACTCGTTCGGACGATTCACCTTCTACGAGGAATGGATCCAAATTAGGAAGTTTGACAAATTCCGGTCTTTCTTGGACCAACAAACATTCAAGCCTTCGGTGGGACGTCCACATTCAACTCCACTGACGGATGATTCTGTAGGGAGCGGAAGTAGTGGGAAGAGGACACGGGATGAGGGTGACAATTCCTCACCTACCACACCGACCAGCGTGGGTGTCGGTGATGAGAGAGTAGCTCGTGCTGAAGGAATTAAAAAGGCTAAGTCGAGGTTGAAGGGTAAAGCTCCATCAAGTGAAGCATTTAAGGAATTAGAAACATTCAACACCCGATTGCAGCTATTTGGGGATTCGATGAATGTGTCAAACGAAGCAGAAATGAAGAGGCTTGAAATACAGGAGCGCAAGGAGGCAAGGAAACAACGGAAAATTGAGCTAGAACAACATAGGATCCACTGGGAGCAACTAGCTCGTCTAGAACAGAAAGTAAACCGAGAACAGTGGGAAGACGAAATGATAGTAATACTTCAGAACAAAATTAAAAGTTTCACTAATGATGCTTAGGCATTGTAATCTTCATTTTCAGTAGTGATAAGTTTTCAATTCCAGTTCAACCTCTTGTACTCATTTCCAATTATTTGTATTTTATCAGTTAATTAGTAAAATGGATCTTTTCCACTATCCCATTTTTATAGCCCATGTGATCTTTGTCTCTTTATTCAATTATATCAATTTGTCTCTTTATATATAATTGTGTCAGTATCTTAATTTCCCCTTTGTTAGCCCATGTGAAACCCTTCTTCTCCATTCAATTTCTGTGTGGTTCTAATCCAGTGTTTGTCATAACCCATGTGATCTTTGTCTCTTTATATTCAGTTATTTCTGAAGAAGAATTACAAATTAGTTCACTATAAATAAACACCATTCTTTCATTTATTTTACACACAAACACATAAATCGTTTGCAGTTATTATTAGAAAACCTCACTCTATCTTACATTTCTTACGTAGAAAATGAATTCAAACAGTTTCAACTTAAGCTCAACCGATTCCTCTTCATCTTCATCTAACTCGGATGATGAGGGAAGGGAGCTTAGAGTTTAACAACGTAATGAAGTGTGTCTTATGATACAACACGTAATGCATGAGTACATTCCACCAATTATTCAAGCTGCCACTCAGCAACGCCGACACAAATCTACTGAGCCCCGAAAGGATAGGGGACGCGAAGAAGGTCATGCACGGTTATACAATGACTATTTCGCGGAAGTCCCAGTTTATCCAAGTTCCTTGTTCCGGCGCCAGTTTCGAATGCGTAAACATGTGTTTGAGCGCCTTCTCAACGCAGTGACCCAACATGACCCTTGGTTTCAACAAAGGCGAGATGCGGCAGGTCGTCTTGGGTTGTCTCCACTTCAAAAGTGCACTGCGGCCTTTAGACAACTAGCTTACGGGTGTGCTTCAGACGCTTGTGATGAGTATGTCTGTATAAGTGAGGCTACTTCACGATTGGCACTCCAAAATTTTACAGAAGGTGTCATCAACCAGTTCGGTCCAAACATCGTAGATATGGAAAGATTGCTACGTATTGGGGAAGAACGTGGATTTCCTGGCATGATAGGCAGCATTGATTGTATGCACTGGGAGTGGAAGAACTGTCCACACGCATGGAAGGGGCAGTATCAAGGAAGAGCAGGAGTTGCAACTCTCGTACTGGAGGCAGTTGCGGACAGAGATCTATGGATATGGCATTCGTTCTTTGGGATGCCAGGTAGCTGCAACGATATTAATGTGCTTCATCGATCCCATGTGTTCGAAGACGTCTTAGAGGGTCGAACACCTGCTGTGAACTTCGTAGTCAATGGTCATCATTGTACGAATGGGTATTATCTTACTGATGGAATCTACCCTAGATGGGCTATTTTTGTGAAATCCATTACGAGGCCACAAGCTCGTAAGGATCGTTTATTCGCAAAACACCAGGAAGCTGCAAGGAAAGACGTTGAACGCGCATTTGGGGTCCTTCAAGCTCGTTTTGCCATTATTAAAAAGCCGTCTTTGGCGTGGGATACCGACATACTCCACAATATCATGCTCGCCTGCATCATAATACATAATATGATCGTTGAAGATGAACGAGAGACGTATCAAAATAACGTTAATACCAATGAGTTTATGAATGCTGGAGGCAACGCTAATGAGGACACTACCGAGTACCGTACTGATCGTATTGTGGATATTGACTTATACTTGACTCGTAGAACAGAGATTGAGGATCAACAGACTCATTTGCAGCTAAAAAACGACTTGGTCGCACATATATGGAATAAATTTGGTAACAATGAGAACTTACGCAATTAGGTTTACAACAAATGGTTATCCCTAACGACATCTTACAGAACGATGTGTAGTAGTTCTTTTTTTTTAAAAAAAAATGTACTTGATTATAGTTGTAGTACTGTAATCACGATTTGTATCTTTTTTTTTTAATTATGTTAATTAAAATTAGCTGCGTTGTTTAAAAATATTGGTCACAAGAATTAGTTTTTAAAAAAGCTGATAAAAAAACGCGATAATTTCTTAATTAGTAATCACGATTAAAAAATTAAATACGTCAATTAATTACATTGACATCGAGTTAATAAATTATAATTATGAATTAAATAGATTATATTTACAAAAATAAAATAAGGTGGGGTAGGGAGTATTGATAATGAACCATTGTTTAGTGTTCATTGTTAAGAGTGAATATTGTAAATGGTTTGTTGGGTTGATGTGGATGAGAGAGAAATGGTAATAGTGACCCATGAACCATTTTTTTTGTTCACCAATAATGATGCTTTGAGCATATTTTTTGATCACCATTGGAAGTGCTCTTAAGACTCCACTTTTTACTCAAAAATATAAAATATTCTTATTCATAGTACTACTACTTCAAAAAACACACGGTCAAATTTTTTTTAAAAAGAGAAATTAATGAGAGGGGGTCCAAATTAATTCTCCACCATAGTTTTTATTTCTCTCTCCTCTCTCTTTATTGTTGAACATGTTTGAATGTCCGCCGTATTTGAAGCTCCAAGACTCCACCTTCAACCTCTTCTCCACCATTTTTGAAGCTCCAAGACACCATTGCCATACCGGAGAGCCAAGTGGTATGTCCGGAACGGATTTCATACCCGGATCCGTGTCAAATCGTATCGACCCGGGTATGACGGCAAAATTGCCACGTCTGTTACACATTGTCTTTTTCCCTAAACGCCAAAGTGGCAGCTAATGAACCAAACATAGCACTTGCAACTATAGGATAGTGCTACCCCATGTTGTGAGTGGTGGTATCTCCCATTTGTTGTTGTTGTTGTTGTTGCTGCTGCTGTCCCATACATCCCTACCTTGTCTCCAGCTGTAGGTGTAGAGTGCGGGTAGTGTAGATTAGTTCATTGCATATGTACATCTTTGAAATGACCCTAAAGAATGTCATATAAAGACAGGCCCAACAATCATTGTCGGCCTAAGGCACGCATAAGAACAAATCCAGCCCATTTGATGATTGTGGATTTCTTATCAAAGCCCAATATCCTTCAAGCTTGGCACCAAAAAGCGGCAAAGGAAAAGTGACAATTAAAGGGCATGGTTTGGGGCCAAAAGCAGTTGAAAGAATGCATGTGAGAACATTCAGCACAATTGAGGGATATACTTAACCCTAAACGAGGAAGACTTATAAAAGCAAAGACATTTTAAAAAAAAACAACTGTTTTTTTTTTTTTCTGTACTTAGTTTCTTTTGTTCTTAGATTTAGTTCTAGTTTACATTTTGTTCTTAGTTTTAGTTCTAGTTTACATTAGCTCTTATACTAACTGAATTATCTATCAGTAGCACTTTCATCTTTACAACTTGCTACTATCTCCAATCGAACTTAGAGATGGAGGTAATTATGTTCCCAAATTCAATTGTACAGCCTGACTATTTTAATGTATCTTTCACGTTATGTATATTGTCCTTGAGTTGATGCTTTAACGTTACTTCAATTGCTTTGTTCTCTTTCATATCTTGTTATTACTAGACTCTAATTGTCGATTGGTAATTACTCATATGCTAGCGAGATCTCCTCATAAGGACAAGTTACACCCAAGGTCCCCTCTTCGGTTGAAGTTTCATGGAAAGCAACAAAAACTAAATGGTTCTAATTTCTAAGCACCAAAGGAAAGAAACATTGTTTTACAAATAAATACAAATAAGAGACAAATTTTAAGGCAACACTACAATGGAAAGTAACATCAGTACATACATCACAATAGAAGCTACTTGAAAAGCAGCACAATGACACAGTCAGCTACTTGTATTTGATGCATATTAAAGTGATAAGGCACAGAGAGTTTTATAGTAGCATTATGTGTAGTGCATTCCCAGCTTTTGTTTCAGAAACCACATGTTGGAATTCTTAATCAAATTTAAGTAAATCAAATCAATTTTACCACCCATAGAAGAATCTGAAAGAGGTTTACAATGTAGTCACATACCATTACATATACATGTTATGCAAGATTTGTTATACTTGACAATGATCAGGCTTCAGAGAAACTCTAAATCAAGAAGCTATTAATGCAGATAAAAGGAAAATTTAATAAACACTTACATCGTACTGAGCTGCTTCCTCAACTCTGCCAGCATATACAGTGCATTACCCTTGATCATTGGTACAAAAGAATAATGCAAACAAATGAATAAACTGCAAGAAGCACCTGCAAATAACATTATTAGAGTAAGCAGAATTCAAGACAGTGCATGTCTATTATTATACAAACTTCTATTTAAGTTTCCCAACATCAGCAGTGTAGTACAAAATTTATGTCTATTATTATTCAACCTTCTTCACATTCTATTGTTAAACAGTAATCTTCAACCCTCCTTGAAACAGTTTTTCCTGACCACTTAAAAATAGCCAAGGGGCAATTTTAAAATGTAAAATGAAATAAGCAATTAGTAAATAGGAAGTAGTGATATATATATATATAAAAAAAAAAAAAAAAAAAGGTAGTCAAACATTTTAAGAACTATCAACAGGAAAGAGAATAATGGAGGAAGGGTGGGGGTCGAAATCATGAAACAAATTATAAAAAATGAATGGAAGGAGATGGCAAAACATTTGGAATACCAGAATAAGTTACATAGTTCAAAACCGGACATATTTCATTAGCAACAAGCAATGCAGACCAAATGTTATATAGAGTACAAATTTTATACAGTAACACAGGAATTATATTAAAGGAAGTTCAAGGAGTCACGGCATATGGTTTAGTCAAAGCATTAAAAACATCGTGGAAATTCAATAGCTTATAATTCGAGGAAATGGCTGAAACTGCTAATGTCCAAGAATTGCTGTCAATATAATTTCCTTTAGCTAGAACATTTACTACTTCAAACAACAATTCCAAATTCCCTTCTTCACACAGAAGGTTCATAAATTTGTTAACAGTCAAAAGATGAGGGGTGTAACCCTTGAACACCATTTCATCCAAAATAAATGCCACTTCCTTCAGTTTCATCCCAGAAAGAAGCCCCTGAACAACTATCCGATAAGACACAACATCAGGTTTACATCCTCGCCTAGGCATATCTTCAAATAAATCAGTGGCTTCTCTTATTTTTCCATCGTTGAAATAGGCTTTGATCAACACATTATAACTAATGACATCAGGTTTACATGTTTTTCCTTCCATCTCATTTAAAACCTCCAATGCTAAGTCAAAACGCTTCTCGGCACAATTTCCACTAATGAGAGCATTATAAGTCGCGGTGTTAGGCAAACACCCAATTCTTTTCATCTCCTCCAGAACAACAACAACCTCATCCTTTCGCCCAACCTTAAAAAGACCACGAATCAAAGTAGTATAAATAGCCGAATCCACTTCAATATTCTTGTCTAGCATCTCATCCTTAAGTTTAAATGCCAAATTCAACTCATTAATCTCACAAAACCCCTTGATCAATGAACCATAAACATAAAATGTAGGTTCAACATTGTAAACCCGGGTCATATCTTTCTTCAACCTAAACGCTTCCTTCAGCTTCAAACTCGCACAAAGCCCCGTAATCAACGTAGAAAAAGTCACCTCATTAGGCCGAACCCTTCTCTCACGCATTTCATCAAACACCTTCCATGCACTCTCCATATCATTCCGTACCCTATAAGAATTAATCATGATATTATAACTACAAACATCTGGGGAGGCAAACCAATCAATACCCACAAAAACCCTTTCCAATTTATCAAATTCCCGACAAATTAATAGCCATTTAACATAGTATTCAAGGATTTCACCGTTCTTGGACATCGAAACGAGGGAATTTCGTCGAACACATGGAGTGCTCTTTCGGGCAATCGAGCTCGAGCATAATAAGTAATTACATTGCAGAAAATGATTTCTGTGGGTGTAAAACGAGTTTCAAGCTTCAATTTTGACAAGATTAGTTCCAATTCATCGAACATTTTTGCTCGGCCAAGTTTGGTGATGATGATATCATAGGATAGAAGGGAATATGGGTAGGGTTTATTGTTAGAATTAGGGTTTAGGAAGAGATTGAGGGCAAGTTTTGGGTCTTTTTGTTGTCGAAGAAGAGCAGAGAGTCGAAATGGGGAGAGAGATTTCAATTTCTCCATTGTTTGTTGGTGAACGTTGAAGGCGGGAAAATGTATTGCTTCTTCCCCAAATTTGGGCTCATTAAAGGCAACGTTTGGGAAATCAGCTGATTGAGGCAAATCCACTAATCCTATCCGCTCCCCCACCAAACACTAAAATTAGCGTATTGGCTCTTCAAACCTCTAATAATTGTCCAATCCTCTAATTTTGCCACAATCAGCTGAACATAGCCTATTGAGGAAGTCTTAGCGCCTCACCGTGTGAGATTTATACACTACCTAGCAAGCGCATTTTTGTACCAAAATATTCCGGTACCAAGATACAAGTATGTGTTTTTGGTACCAATTTTTTTGTATCAAAATATCTGATTTTGGTAGTTGTTTGGTACTACGTGAGATTTATAAATCTCACACTGTGAAGCGCCTAGACCTACTCCCTAAATCACTATTGTGAACTCTCTCTTTTTAAAAATCTAGATAGTTCTTGGGTTATGCTCAATTTTTTGAAATTGAAAAGTGATTAAGATATAGAAGTCTCTAGAGAAATGTACCACAATAGTCCATTATAATAACAAGAAGACAATTTGGTTACAGCAGAAGGGCATAGTGCTTATGAAATAAAGCTAAGAAACAAAAAGTAGTCATATAGTTTATCCAATGTTGATCACAATTATTGCAAATAAAATGTAGCAAGAGGATAGTATAAGCTAAGTAAAATATGAGT